AGTCCAGTGGTGAGCGCAGCGGAAATTCCGGCGGGGCACATGGTCGTCCAGGCGTCGTCACCAAACACGGTGCACAGAACACACACACACAGTACGCACAAGCACAGTATTCAGTGTTGAGCGCACCGGGAAGTTCCGGCGGGCAAGCAGTATCCGAGTTGTCCAAGTATTGTCACCAAGTACACCAGCGCCAAGCGCATCGAGATGCCGAGCCAAAGTGCAATGGGTCGGCAGCTTCATACTATATGAAGATTCAAAGCAGAGGTCAGTGTACAGGGTGTCTACCGAGTTGTCATTTTAAAATTTTCTGAGTTTTCCAGGTTTTCCCTAAGTACTTTTGTGAAATTCCCTGAGTGACACAGAACTTTTTTTTAGGTGAAGATGGGCTAACACCATGCCGCCAGATGCTGTCACTCTCTAAAAAGCATGCTATAAAATAAAAAAAAAAATATAATACAGTTTTAATGCTAACGAGTAACTTTTATTAGATTCAGAAAGAAAACACAACGGAGTGGTTAGTAAAACTCATAGCGAATAAAATATGAAGAAAGGTAAACTAAAGTTTACCTGACCACCCCCCCCCCCGTGAGGTCATGTGACCTCACGGTTACGCCGACGGCGACGCCGCTCAAGCCGGAAAGGTCATGTGGCCTCAGGGTTACGCCGACGGCGACGCCGCTCAAGCCGGAAACGGGCAGCTGCGCTCTAAAAGAAAAACGGGAGCAATAACGGGGAAAGAAAAAGGTAAACAAAGATAAGGCGTTCAAAGTGCGATTGCTCAACCCTGTTGTCAACACACTCCACTTGACGAAATCTTTTTTTTTTTTTTTTTTTGCTCACTTTATTTTGGGGTTAAGGAGTCGCGCAGCGACAGCGCTGTTCGGGGAAAAGAGCGCACGCGACTGTTCCAACAGCGGGCACTTCCCGCCCTCCATACGTGTGCCCTTCCCCTTGCTTTTGTCATCCTCCATTTGTTCTTGTTTTTATTGGTTGCTTTTTTTATTTTTTTATACAATTGCTTTTTCGCTGCGTATCCCCGCGTGCGCGTATGCTGGCTTGGCAGTCTGCCCGCCCTGCAACCCGAACTATGTGCTCCCTGCCGGCGCAATCCGACCCTGGGAGAAATAATAATAATTGCCTTTATTTCCATGAAAGAAGGGGAGACAGAGGAAAAAAGCTGCTATAGAGCAGCTTGACGTGTCCTCGACCCCCTACAGACAGTGGTTGAGCAAAACGTTTTTGTTAGTGTAGATAAGAAGCAAAATCGAGTCACTGATGCAGAAATGCAGAAACATGGAATCCATCCTACAAGTTAATCACACTAGGTCATTGCTGACCTACAAATTCGCTGGGCAATCACACACACAAAAATTTCATGATAACAAAAAAACACGAAGAAACACAAAGTGCCAAAAACGAAAAAGTTGCTACGTCCACGTTCTAAAAAGTCTTACAACATCTAAAAAGAGCTGTAAAGAGCATAAATAGGAAGAGTCACGGAAGAAATAAAAAATATGCGCTATAAATGCGTAGCATGTCCAAAAAAGCACAGGTATATAAAGAATGCCGCAAAGCCAATGCCGGGCAAGTAAAAAGAAAAAATAGAAAAAGAAGCGAAACAGTAAACGTCGGATTGAAAAGCTAGCACAATAACCGCGAAAAAATGTCTAAATGCAATGCGTAGTAAATACAGCGTAAAATAAACACACACGGAATTAACGAAAAAACAATCACTCTTCAGACATAAATCGTCAGTCACGGAAAAAGGCGAATGGAAGCAATATTAAGACAAGGACAAGGACGAAGCAAAATTATACACAAGTTAAGCACAGTTTTCTCGCGGAAATGTTGCGTAGGTCAGTCTCTTGTTGAATATGACTGTTAAGTAGTTTTGGGAGTAGACATTTCATCATCTCGGTTCCATAGTTGGTTCTGCATTTTTCAACCTTCCAGTAGTTTCTGCAGCGCGTTTCAGGCTTTCGTGTTTTTAGTCAGGAACGCGAGTGAGTTCAAGTTTGAAGCGAAGGACGGCCGTGCTTGGCCGTGCTTCGTCTTCGTTCGCTACATCGAGTGTGCCCGCCATGAAAGTTATGGGCGTTCGATACAGAAAAACATTGTGATTTTCTAGGGGATGTTCGAACTGTTTAATATAAACAATAATTCGAAATACACGGGTGTGATATTACCGGGCTCGACTGTTCGTTTGGTCCATTCCATTGATATCTGAAGAATTATGGACTGTGAGGGTTTATTTCAAACACGATGGCCAATCATCCTTGAGGCGGAGGTTTGGCCATCTTGATTAGAAAGGGCGTTGAATGTGAACTACTAAGTGATTATTCTATTATCACGAAAGATGTGGAAGCATTGTGCTTACGTAATGATCGAAATATTTTCGCGGCTTTTTATCGCCCACCGGACAGTAGCATGTCATCTTTTTTTACATTTCTTGAGTCTTTTTTGGTGTTCACAAATGAAAGTCAATATAACGTCATTTGTGGGGGTGATTTTAATATTGATATGTCTTCTGACAGTGTTTCTAAAAGGAAAATAGAGAACGTAGTTAGCATGTACTTACGGATGTGTCAACACGATTGTCAATCCTCCAAGAATTACCTTACAGTCCAAAACCATTTGAGAATTTTTATAACCAATTTTCATATAGATCGACTGAACAGTGGGGTTATAAGTTGTGACTTGAGTCACCATCTTCCCATTTTATTGTGTGTTGAGCTTAATATATCTCGAAAGCTAACGAAATGCGAACTTGCGATTTTCCAAAGTATTGGTAAAAATAGCCTCGATGCTTTCAGACGAGACATCGCAGCTGTAGATTGGAATACGGTGCTTACGCAAGAAACGGTTGATTATGCCTATAACTTATATTTAGAACAATTTCTAAAGCTGTATAAACTTTACTTTCCACATAAATCCGTAAAAATATCAAAAAAGATTCGTAAACCGTGGGTAACGCCCACTTTGATAAAACAAATCCGTACGAAAGATATACTATACAAACGGTTCGTTAAGACACGCAACCCAGATGCTCTAAAGGAATTTAAGTCTTATCGAAACGACTTAACTAAGGAGCTAAGGAATGCCAAAAAAATTTTTCACTCTTCCCTTTTCTCGTTAGAAAATGGTTTCACTGACGTAATATGGAAACATCTCGGTTCGGTGGTTAAGGGGTTTCCTGTATCAAACTTTATTGAAACATTGCAGTACAAGGGTGTAAGTTTAACCGGCCAGGATTTGGCAAATGTGTTTAATGAATATTTTGTAAATATATCTAGTACTGCCGACACTAATGATTCGTGTAAATATATTTGTCAAAGAAACTGTAGATCTATATTTTTAGAGCCAATTGCTAGTTCAGAATTAACTAATGTGATTATGCACTTAAAAAATAGCGGTAGCTGCGACGCTGATGGAATGCAAATTCGCTCCATTAAGTATGTTGCCGACGTAATTGCTCCCGTGTTAACTTACATTTTTAATCCTTCTTTTTAGTCTTGTGTGTTTCCCAGAAGAATGCAAGTAGCAAAGATGTCTATACTGTATAAAAAAGGATATAAAAATGATTTAGGAAACTATAGACCTATTTCTATATTGCACTGTTTTTCGAAGGTTTTGGAAAAGCTACTCTATCACCGTTTAGTAAACTTCTCGAATAAATGGGACCTCATAAATTCCTCGCAATTTGGTTTAAAAAAAACGTTCAATAGAGACAGCTCTACCTAATTAAAAAGAATTAAGTTTAGCAAAATTTTAAAGTAAAAAAATTTGTTTTAGGAGTGTTCCTAGATTTTACAAAAGCCTTTGACTGTCTTAATCACGAAGTATTATTAAAAATCTTGAAGTTTATGGCATTCGTGGACATGCCCTACAGATTTTGAAATCATACCTACGACATCGTCAGCAATATGTTAACATAAACGGTCATTTTTCCACTGTAAGATCTATTACGTCAGGCGTTCCACAAGGAAGCATATTGGGACCTTTTCTTTTTAATTTATATATTAATGATATAATCAACGTAAATACTAAGGCGAAATTTCTAATTTATGCAGATGACACTACCATTCTGTTTCTTCCAAAACCTGTGACAAAGTAATTGATATGGCGAACTTTAATCTATTAAATATAAAAGGCTTGGGGTGATAGCAACTCACAGAAAATTAATATTAATAAGACGAAAGCCGTAATTTTTCGACCAAAAAATAGATCTCTGGTTATATCGAAGGTTCTCCGCTTTGACTAGTCTTCCATCGAAATCGTTGGTTGTTTCAAAACACCTGGAGTGTTTTTAGTGAGACAATGAGCTGGGATAATCATATAAACTATATTGTTCCAAAGCTTGTTCCGGTAGTTGGAATCGTAAATCGCTACCGATCTGTTTTACAAAACGAACGTTAAATTGTTGCTCTATAAATCACTATTTTATTCCCATTTAACGTATTGTCTTCTAGTTTGGGGCATATCCACAATCAGGGCCGTAACCAGGGGGGGGGGGGGGGGGGGGGTTAGGGGGTTCTGACCCCCCCCGAAATTTTTTTCTGGGTACGGCCCTGGTCGGTGCATTGCAGCCAGCCGATTTTAATCTCCACCTCTGCGCACGCGCAGTGGCACCGGTCGGCTACCGGGTACCAAACCGGGACCGGTTCTTCGGTTTGCTATAATTCTCCATTATATGCCACCGATGCACATGATTCATAGGCGAAAATAAGACAAAATGGCCGCCGTTGTCCCCGAAACCCCCCCCCCCCCCCCCCCCCCCCCCCCGAAATTTTTTTCTGGGTACGGCCCTGTCCACAATGACTACTATAGAAAAACTGATTTTGCTGCAGAAAAAAAAAAAACATACCGAGAGGAATATGTAATGTGCCATATAACGTTCATTCTGCCGATTTATTTAAGATTTGTAAAATAATTAACATTTTGAAATTATATCAGTACAAACTCGCTAAAAGTTTTAAAAGTGAAAAGAAAATGGAATCGTGTTTTTTTGGAAAAACTTGCGTCGTTAAGGGAAATTTCCCTACATTATTCCACCCGCAACGCAGAGATATGGAGGATGGTCACGCAACGAACGAACTATGGCTATCAAATGTTTAATTTCACACTCCCACATTTATTAAATAGTCTTTGCACTGATAATATTGACTTTGATAGTTTAAATTTCAAGGACCTGCGCTTATATTGTTGTGCGTGATTTTTGTTTTCATTCTACGTTTTGTACTTGGGTGAACCTTGGTTTGTAGAAATGTCAACCGTAGATGTGCAACGGTTCAACTGTATACTTTGCCTTTTTTGTATTTTTTCCACCTGCTTGCTGCTGAGCAATGTAAGGGCCCCGAGGACCAGTCAAGCTGCGTACTGCAGATTTTTTCCTTTTGGCCCTCTATCATTTGATGGAAAGAAAGTTATTATTATTACTTTTAAAAATAAAAAAAAAAATAAAAAAGTCCCCGATAGAAGCAAAAATTCCCTGAGTTCTTCCTGAGATTTTCTGGACTATTCAAAATACCTGAGAATTTCCGGTTTTCCCGGTTGGTAAACACCCCGAGTGTATATCCATCCAGGGCAACAATGGGCGCGTTAGTATCCGTGCGCCCACAGCGCGAACGTCGCCGCCGGGAGAGCGCCGGCCGACAGTTCGACAAGAGCGGAGAAGAACCGAAACTCTTGGAGCGCTGCCGCCGCCTGCTTTAACGATTCGTCTGTGCAAAGAGGTGCGAGCTTATCGAAAGAGTGAAAATAACCCATGGCACACTGTTAGGCAGATTTCTCACATTTTAGTGAAGTGCAGCTACATGAAGAGTAAGCATATATTGCCTCAGCACCGCTCGGTGACATCGCGGGATGTTAGAAAAGTAACCAAGTTGTGCGGGCAACTGCAGCGAGACATTTGCAAGGGTGTAGCTGTACCTGAAACCTAATTACATTTCGGCTCAAGTCACTAACTTTTGCATGTTTGACTCAACCGGGAGGTTTGCTAATGACCCTCACATGCCACAACTTTCAATGAAAAAAATGGCTCCATTACTAGCGCTTCCTATCAGCTTGAACCTTGCACAATGAAGGCAAAGCCTACTTAACGCCGTTTAGATTTCCCCTTTTAACAACATGTCTCATGTCTGTCCTACAACACATCTACAATGTTAAATACATGATGGCAGACTGATCATTCCAAGACACTAGCTTTACATAAGCTGTGCTAGTCCAGTAAGAGGATGTTGGGGAGGAAAGCGGTGGCGCCCACGCCTGTGGCAAATATTCATGTCCACAAGGTGATGTGCCCGTAACGAACTCGAACTTTCCAAGTTCTCGGAAGTTTTTTTTTTACGCCGGTTTGTTTCGAGGTGAGGGAAATGCACTGCGAGTCCCAGCAGGCCACACACATTATGCGATTCACTAGCTCTGTTTTGAGCAACACAATAAACAAATATACAGTATGCATAAAAACAGAGTGGTGGCGGAAGTGGTCTTCGCGTCGTCCGTCTGCTGTACAAAAGGACGAAGAAGCACCGAAGGGTCAACACGACGAAAACAGCGGGAGCAAGCGGCAGCAAGGACCGTTGTGCCGCAGCACACTGGGGATGCCACCGCTCTGAAACAAGCGGGCCGAGCTACGCCGTGCCGACTTGTTGGGCAACCAGGTTGGCACACTCCAGCGCCCCCTTGCCCAGGATGAAGTTTTCGTGGAGTCCCTCCACCACGTGGATGTGAACCTTGCCCTCGCAGCACTGCGAGAAAAACGAAGGACGTTCAGGCGATGCCAAGAAACAATCGGCCTTTGGAAACAATATGTCCGCTACCTTGATTAGGAGAGGGCGTCTTCAGACAGGTTCAACGAAGATGGCCCAGATTTGTTTCCTCGCAGTATTCCACCATATTACTGCTTCGAATTGAGCCACATTCACTATACTTCATTCACCCCACAGCAGACAGTGCGGTGAAAGCTGCATGCTCGTTGGATCAGTCGTACGCTTATATTTAACCACGTGATCACCCTACCCCGCCCATATTCACACGCAGCGAGTGGAGCGCCGGGTGATTTAGGGGAGCGGAAAGGGAAAATGGAGCTGACACCTGCGTCGAGATGGGTTTAAAGCAAGAAACTTAATAAGTTATTACTGGTCGTCCCTAATCTTTTCTTAAAGCTAAAAAAAAACGCAAGTCACTATACATTCGCTGCACTTGATTAGTTTAGCCTATGAAAGAAGACGTTAAAGGAGACGGCAATTATACCTTGATGTCGCGCTTTGATTCTGGGAATCAACCGGCCAGATCCATTGACGGTGCACATCAACCGCGCTGGCCGGTTGATCGCCGACATCGTCTAAATTTGCGGACGATGTTGTGATGTCACGGACTAAAACTTCCGGAAAAACTTTGCAAAATGCTAGAATTGCGGCTCCTGTGGTGAGACAGAACCAGGGTCGTGTACTCCTGACCCGATGACTCAATTATCACATCCGCCACAGGACTTCGTGCCGTGACGGCACAGCACCGCGGCACTTGTGCCACCCACGCCCACCTTCATGCACCGAAGTGCCAGGAGCATCGGCCAACTTAAGAAAGCGCCTGGGTTAGCGCGATGGGCTCGCAAATTATGCTCAATATTATTTATTACACGTCCACCTTCTTTGTCCTAATCGTAAATTGATCCATAAAAAAAAAAGCGAAAAAAATAAACTGAGGTTAGAGTAGGTTTTTATAATATTTGTAGATAATTGTCTTTGCAGTTCGTGATATTAGAGTTGAGTTTTGTAGGTTCATTAAACTTAGGGGACACATTTTTATTGATAGATGCGTGAGTAGATATGCTCGTTCTCGCTGTCATTTTATGGAAATTATATTTACAGGCTAAGTGAAGTACCGAGTAAAATGAGGAGGGAGAAAGGTTTTATCTTTATCCAAGTGTTACGCTACAATTCACTTTTCAACCTTTTTTAGTACCCATTGTAAATGTAATTTACTCTGACCAGAACCTTATTTCTAAAGAGAAGACTATGCCTTTTGGACCCTGTATATTCTTATCACAAAAAGGAATAAGTAAAACGCTACAGTATCAAAGAGGAACCCTCGATCACTATCATAAATGAATTCGTTTAGAAATGGAATCACTTTTTATCTTCGAAGGACGTCCTAACAGATGTTGGCATCTGCTCCAAAACTGTGAGTGGCTGCTACAGGACTACCTACAAAAAGTCAAATGCCGCTTTCATCTCTGCGATTGGTTCTGCGAGCACGTAGGTGTGGCCCCACTGTCAGCTTCGGGGTGGATGGTGTATAGGCACTACTCCGGCAAGTTATACCATTCCGTTCGGGTGGTTAGCACTCTATCGTTGCGCTAGAATATGGCATGCCCGGTTCTTCACCCTATTATTTTATACCCGAGTAATTTATACCCGGATATTACGGACGGACGAAAGAGACCGCAGAAACGGCAAGCGCGCGAGGCACAGCCAACCATAATTTGCATATTTATCATTAGTCCGCGATAATTTCACCGACATGCTCAATTTTACGACGATTATGACCAGATAGCAATATTAAGTTGAATGTGGCATACATTGAAGACTTTGGAACAGTGGCAGTGCTAGCTCTAAACACACCAGCCCTCCCTCCCCCAAATCACACATGGACAGCATGTACAACCCACATACTTTATGAATATGGCCGCCCAACAGATTCTGTGCCCCGGTCTTTGTCAGCATGATTGAGCTAGCGTAAACTTTTTTCAAGATCATCTCCAAATTTTGGGTGGGCACTCGCTCGGTTCATGCCGTTACCTCGGACCTTTCACTTAGAGGCCGGTTCACACACTCGCGACTGGTTGCGACCGACAGCATTACGACCTCTCGAGATATCTGGCGACCAGAAAATTCAATGGCACGCTGGCGCCCTCTATGAGGCAACCCTGAAACTCCATTTAACGAGATCCAAGCTTCTGCAGTATTTGCGAGATCAAAGCACGTACTATGACAAACGGTTGTTTCTAAAGTTGTCAAGTTTTTTTTTAAGCCAATTGTGAAAGAATGATGCGCGAAAAAACCCCGGGTAAATATACGAAAATCTCGATTGACCCGCGGCTATTGGCGGCAGTGTGTCGCCTGGTCGTGAGGGATCGAAAATTCTCGTAACGCACTGGGTTGCAAGCAGTCGCATCTGTATGAAGGAGCCTTGACGCTTCGGTCCAACTGCTATTGTACAAAAGACAGTCTGGAGACGGTGTCTTCATCCTTGTAGTCACATTTGTCATAAAAAACCAGACAGGTGCGAACGTATGCATGAGACCATGCACTTGAGGCGTGTCCGCAGGTAATTCTGCCATCACGTCTGCAAGTAACACCGTGTCATTTGTACCATGTACAAGCAACGTGGCTGCAGCTTAAAGGCCGACTTAGAGAATAGTCTTCTGCAGAGAACAAAACCGGTTCCCAGTTTCCTTTTCTCTATTCTCTCTCGCAAACTTTTCTCCTCCTCTCCCCACAGGAGCGGTTGCCTCAACTACTCCCCGCCAAAAAGAAGGGTTCTCCCCCTCCTCGAATGAAAAGGAGGAATCGGGTTTCCCCCTTTCTGGCCGCTCGTCGGCCTTCAAGACGCGACCGCGCAGAGACCCAAAAATCGGACAGGACCAGCGCCGAGCGCCACGCACCTCGGAGAGGCCGTAGTCGGGGGGCAGCTGCATGGCCATCTTGCGTGGCTTGGAGGGCTTGACCAGGGTGACGTCCCCCAGGAACTTGGCCGTAGGGGCGTACCTGCTGCCGGCCTTGAGGAAGTCGTAGAAGGCGCTCGTGGCCAGGGCCACGTCCTCCCGGCTGGGGCACACGTCGGGGATGGCCGCCAGCAGCAGGTCCGTGGCCACCTCCTGCTTCGCCTCCCAGGTCGGGTACTGCAACATCTGCCGCTTCACCTGCGAACGCAACCCGGGCACGCTCGGCGCGTCGGACGAAACACTCCTTTCCTCGACTGTCGAGACTTCTCGCTACGATGCCTGGAATGCGTCTCCGACCAGTGCGGCGCGTTCGTTGCATCCAACAAAGCGGCCTCTCGATTTCCGGTCGATGACCTCCTAAAGGCGTCCCCCTGTCGCCGGCCACGATCCTGGCAGTGTCAAGGCAGCGGACCTGGAGGGGGCAGCCGCCCGTGCCGCCTCAGGTCAGCTTGAACGTCCACGGATGCTTCGGTAGCCGGGAGTTGTCAAGACGCGACGACGGTGACGCTCGCAGTCTCGTGCCTTATTCACGGGACTCCGTCCTCCAACTGCCAGGATCGCGATATCATGTAGCGCGACACTCTGGCTTTTGCGACGTCACTTGCTGCCGCTTCCGGACCCCTTTTGATGCACGGGCAGAGTAAGACGCTAAACACACAAGTCGCAGACGCATTCCAGGCACGATATTTTCGCCGACTTGCTTTCTGAACGAACTATGTTTATGAAAGACGGAACGGAAATTGACTCGTAGGGTCTGGGAAAAGTGCACTCTGGAGGCTCCCGCTCTTTCTCCTGTCCCTCGATGAAGGTTTAGATTGTTGTGGATTTACTTCGCGAAATTTCGAGGTAGAACTCCCTTTCCGCAACAAATAAGGTTGACACCCTTGCCACGCTTAAGACCGAAAGGAGACGCAGACGACCATAGACACTGCCTCCACATCGGGCAGCCCTCTCTCCCCCAAAGGTTCACCTCCCGTCGTGCCATGGTTGTGGAGTTGACTGTTACAGTAACTCCGGTGCGTGCTAGGATTCGCAAGTTTGGAAGGGCAGCATTTACATGCTGTCCTTTTTAATATTAATTACTCCCAACCAGACAGATCTCTGTCAAATGTTTACTTTTAAATTTTAAAGCATTTACATCCTGCTGCATTATAAATAGCGTTGAATTACGACCTCTAGAAGGCACTTGGAAGGACGGATGGTCAGAGCCATGTATAAAGGAAGAATCTGGACATCTGTTGTCCTTGCTGACCTCTCGCCGTACCTTCTTCTCCAAACCGCGAAGTGAATACATTTATAATTTGATGCCTTTTAATAAATGTTATTTTTTGTATGAAAAGCTAGTTTTGGTGTCTTCCTATGTTCCCTTAATTTTTTTTTATGTAATGACATTACGATGGATGCCGGGATTTCAGCGTCCTTAGGAACGGCCAATCAGTTGAGATTAATCTATTAAAACGAGCAAGCTTATCATTGGCGAAGAGCCGCCTGACTCTGAGTCGCCCGATGTTTATTTCGCAACCTTCCGTTATGAAATAGACTGCTCTAACGTTAGGACAAACGTTAGTGCCGGCGCCGTTTTAATGCATTCAAACTCGCACAAGTTTTAATTTAGAGCGCAGCTCTTAGGCGCCCGTTTCCGGCTTGAGCAGCATTGGCGTCGGCGTCGGCGTAATTGCACGTTGCAATGTGGGACGTTTCTCATGATGACGTCACCCGTGCGTTGCATTATGGGTAAATTCCCCCGCTAAAATTAGAGAAAAAATTTCCCCGCTAAATTTAGAGAAAAAATTTCCCCGCTAAACTTAGCAGGAAAAATTCCCCGCTAAATTTAGCGGAAAAAGTTTCCCGCTAGGCTTAGCGGAAGAAGTTCCCTCTTAAATTAGCGAAACAATTTTCCTGCTGAATTGTACGGGAAAAATTCCCTGATAAGTTTAGCGGGAAAATTTCCCCTCAAAATTTAGCGGAAAAAGGTCCGCGCTAAGTTTAGCGAAAAAGTTTCCCCTCTAAATTTAGCGAAAAAATTTTGTCGCTAAATTGTGCGGGAAAAGTTTCCCGCTAAATTTAGCAGGAAAAATTTCTCGCTAAATATAGCGGAAAAAGTTCCCCTCTAGATTTAGCGGAAAAATTTCCCCTCTAAAATTAAAGAAAAATTTTCCCGCTAAATTGTGTGGGAAACTTTTTCCGCTAAACGTAGCGGGGAACTTTTTCTGCTAAATTTTGCTGGGAAAGTTTTCCGCTAAATTTAGTGGGAAAAGTTCTGCGCAAAAATTAGCGGAATAAATTCCCTCTCTAAAATTAGCGGAAAATTTTCCCCACTAAATTTAGCGGAAAAAATTTCCCGCTAAATATAGCGTAAAAAGTTCCACGCTAAATTTAGCGTAAAAAGTTCCCCGCTAAATTTAGCAGAAAATTTCACCTCTAAAATTAGCGGAAAAATTTTCCCGCTAAATTGTGTGGGAAAATTTTCCCGCTAAACGTAGCGGGGAACATTTTCTGCTAAATTTTGCGGGAAAAGTTTCCCGCTAAATTTAGCAAGAAAATTTCGCCGCAAAATCTAACGAAAAAATTCTTCCTCTAAGTTTAGCGAAAAAATTTCCCCGCTACATTTAGCGGGAAAGATTCCTCACTAAATATAGCGGAAAAGGTTCCCCGCAAAATTTAGCGGGAAAATTTCCCCGCAAAATTTAGCGGAAAAAAATTTCCCACTATATTTAGCAGAAAAATTTTCCCCCTACGTTTAGCGGGAAACTTAGCAAAAATTTCCTGCTAAATGGCAGGCGAGAAGGAGAGGAGGAGAGGAGCGTACGGATGAGGAGGAGGGGCAAACACACCTCTTTGTATTTTCCCCCTCCTCCTCAAAAGCTGCGCTCTAATTCGGCGTTACAGGGGATTGTAAACGTCTTTCAGTTTTTTCTTATTCCTCTCTTTGTAACCTTCCGGCTTCATGTTCGGAAAAAGAGATTGCTCTTTCGTTGCTGGCATTGAGTTCGGTGGAGGCATGCGGTAATCACTCCAGGCGTGGCCATCCCATATAAGGATTAGCGATCGCTTGGATCAAGCCATCTCGTTTGAGACGCTGACGCATCGTCAAGAGGAAATACAATTAGGAAGAAACGAAACCCTTGGAGACTCTCGGACGGAGGGCTTTAGCTCATTTTGCAATCTAATTGACAATTTTCTTAGAAAACGAAGGCAACAGTAGCATTCTCGTATACGCTCACTTATCAGAACATGCTACGGAATCCCCTAAGCTGCGAATTAGAATTTGTTCCGCACTGCTAATATAACCAGGCGCGTTAACTAGAACTGAAAATTGCGAAGTTTACTCGAGCGTCATTTGCGCGACGCACCGACCGTCCGCGAAGTGTATATGAACGGCCTGGTGACGCGCCGCATACGGAGGGAGAATAGACAAGGTAAATTTGAACTAATTTAATATGGTTCCTGAATAAACACGACTCAGCCCAAATACTGCTAGCTGATGACCTAAGAGAAAATAAAGCAGTCATCGTTGTAGGAATGGGAGAGCCAAGCATACGGGCATAGGTCCCAGGCGTCGGTTGGGATCGAAGATGGCGATATGGGTGCGACCATGGCGTTCTCCTCGCGTGTCAGTGACGTAGTTGACGAGCTGTCAACGAGGCCACGCCAGCTCGCCAAGCTATCCCCTATATATGGCTCTGCAGATGGTGGCCTTACGAGGGACAGGAAGAGTAGGGTAAAAATAATAGGATGTAGGTTAGGTTCAGGTACAGTGCCTCGAACGCATCTCCGATTTGCGTGTTCACCATCCTTCTCACCCATGCATCGAAAGCAGTTCAAAAGTGGAAATAAATTGCGTCGGGAGCCAGTGTGTAACCATCCTGGCGTTTGGTCGTAAAAAAAAATTGCGTTGGCTTAGCTCGGCTATGCCTGGATATGCGTAGCGTGAGCTTATGCGCACAAAATGAGAGGCGCTATCAAGCGGCTCCGGTGCAGCGTCAGACTTGGCTACTGCGCAACGGAGGCGCACAGCTGGGCACGAGGCGGCGCCAGTGCGTCTGCCGTGGCTATGACGTCACTCCTCTGGAATGCGCAGACTGGCGAGGCGAGCGCGGAGGCGGCGGAGCGCCAGCTGTGCGCCGTGTGACGCCACTGCTCCTCGCGCATGCTTAGCACAGCTCTTTGGGAGCCACGCGAAACTGCTCAACCTCGGCCAGTAGCTCACGCTACAAAATTTTGCCGAAAACAGCGAGCGAATGCGAGTGTTGCCATTGACGCGGCAACCCATCTGGCGTCTGCTTCGGTTTCCATAGACTGTATGTCTGCAGAGCTGCCTGCAGCACGACGGGCGTGTGTCGCACCCACCTCCTCTGCCGTGCCGCAGTCAGGATCGCGGTAGTCAACAGCAGGACACTTCCACGCTTCGTCGGGCGGAAATCGACCACCACTTTCGAAGACTTCCTAGATGCACAAGTCTGAGAATGTTCCAGGCACACTAGTCCAGGTAAGGGTTAGGTTAGGGTAGGGTAGGGAAGTGTAGGCCCAGCTTTTCCCTCAAGAGCTCGCAAGGGGTGCCCACCTGGAGGAAGTCAATGTCGAGGTACTGCATGAGGAAGGCGCAGAAGAGGGAGGCCTCCTCCTCGTTGGCGTCAGTGTAGTGGCTGTAGTGGCGCCCCATGTACCGGGGCGCCCCGTCGAGGAGCACCAGGCTGCCCACGAGAGCTCCCGCCCCCTGCAGCTGCACCGCCATCTCAAAGGCCACCGTGGCCCCGAACGAGTAGCCCACGATGTGGTACGGACCCTGGGGCTGTACCTCCACTAGCCGCTGCACAAAGGGGGAGGGCCACGTGAGACCACGGAGCCGGGACTACGGCGGACTCATTATTTGAATCTCTAGAAAGCCAAGAATTCTGTTTTAATTGTTGGAAGTTTGAATCATCAGATATTAATCTGATTATGATGGGAGATAAAATTATGATTTGTCACACGAATGGCTGCACGTACAAAGCAGATATTTAATGATTTCCTCTACATAGGCCTACTCATCATAAGCAGGTATGCAAGCATTAAACATTTATGAAATGTACGACATAACTTTATTTATTCCTCAAGCATGTTGCTTATCGCGCACGGTTTAGACAGCACACGACAACTCAAAACGAAGTTAGGTTTCTTCATTGAGTCATGAAGTTGTCTTATGCGACCTATTAAGAAGGGGACCCATGACAATGAAAATGGGCACCGCGCGACCGTTTTAATAGCGACTTGCGCGGACGCTGTGACGTGGACCTATGCCATGCCGCCGCCTTACCGCGTCCGCGCAAGTTGCTGTGGAAATTTCCGCTCGACGCTTGTTTTCATAGTTCACGTGTGTCCTCCTTGAGCCCCGTTGAGTACGCTACTCGTTGAGGACCGGTGCTCTGCGGAGAAGCAACAAGCGCGGAAGCAAGCTCCGCGGGTGTTGCAGCTATGCAGGGCCACGGAAACAAAAAGTATTACACGAAAACTCCGTTCGAATTAAGCGGCTCACGAATACATTAAAAAAACACTGGACATGGCGTGAATTCAAAGATATGAGAGTCCGTGCGCTCGCGCGCACTATGAGAGCCCGTCAAAGCCAAGCATGAAAGCTCTTCATTTCTTTCAAAGTCCCAATGCACGCCGTCCCCACGTGAGTCACTGCGAAATTCGGCAGACACACTTCTGGCTGCTTACGCATAAGAATGCTTTCGCATTCCTACACGCAGCGCATTCCTACAAGCAGCGCGCCACGTCTTATTTTTTTAAACGGCACTCCGGCGGTGACATTACACTCCCCCACTGCTCAGACGCGGCGAACCCCGCCGGCTTCACGAAGGCTTCCATGACGATGCATCTGCGTTGCTGTGCCTTTCTTTGCGTTTTATTTCTGAGGCGCGTACTTCATGACGTATGGGTGTGACCATCGTTCGTTCAAAACGCCGTCGCCTTTTCGCGTAATGGGACAAGTAAGCCCCATTGCAGGACAACCAATATTTTCTGAAATTTGCTCAAATTATCTAGGAGTAGGAAATATCAGAGTTTGAACTATCGCGAGGTTTGCGGCCGGCCCTTTGGTGGTGAAGCCGGAATGCGTCGTACAACGAACCTATTTGTGCGCAAATGAAACCCAAGTATACGTGCACGAAACGTTACTGACCAAGAAGTTTAAAGATGCGTTCGCATTAGTACCCACATGAAAGGGAAAAGCTGACGGCGTCCGTCTGTGGACAAAACGGTGGAAAGGGAAGCGCGCCGCGTAGAGAGGAGGAGAGTAGTGAAGGACAAAGACGAGAGGGAAGTGACGTCACGGGGCGGAAGCCAATGCGCGCACGGATGCTGGGGAGAGTCTGAACTTGCAGGTGCGCGTATGCCTTGGTTTGGACTACAAAATAGAGTGTGAACCAAGTACTAACGCTGGTCCAAGTGGGCGGCCCAAAAATTAAAGGAAGATCCATCGGTAGATATTTAGGGAACGCGTTAGCGGGGAAACGCCACGCACGTCCCCCTTTGGGGAACGCTAACATTGACCCCGTAACGCCCATAACGAAATCAAAGGGAGGCAGCAAAAGAGAAAGTAAAACGAGAAAAGTGAAGGGATTAGTCTTAGCGTTCCCCAAAGGGGGACACGAATGGCGTTTCCCGAGAGACAATCTAGAGCCTTTTTTACCCCACTTACACGGGCAACCTTAACCTCACTTTAGTCACCCTTCTCTGCAGTTATGCTCAACCACAGTTGCCACACTATATACTATCGGGCAGCTATTTTCCGGAAGTCAAAAGTGTGCGTGGGCAGCTTTGATGGGCGTTGAAGATGCGCAAGCGTACGTGCGCATCTCGTTGGCGTCGTCAACGATGCAACCCCCAAGATTTTGTCATCGAGCTTGGCCATCCCCGCAGCGACGACATCTGAACGACTCGACGAGCATTCAGGTAATCGTTCGTGGCCGATCGCCCCGATGACGAGATTACCCGATCCCTACCTATATCAGAACTCCGCTGCCATCACGCGACTGCCATTGCGTTGAGAAGAAACAAACAAAACACTGATAATGTAGTGATAATGTAGTGACAAACACCACCACATAATGTAGTGATAATGTAGTGACAACGAACAAAACACCACCACCAACTACTACAACAACAGCTAAGGCTAATTTCACAGCTATTGGTTACAAATTTCAAGGAGCGATTCTGAGCGCTATTAACAGAAAGTACAGAAAGGGTTACATCGAATCTTTAAACTGCAGTCGCACTGCCCATACATAGTACCGAAGACGGGATTATCTGCCCTCGCGCATGTTAGAAGCATGTTTGCACGTGTGCGAGCTTCAAAAATGTCTGCCCGTTCAATCTGGCAGGAAGGAAGAAGCCTGGGACAGTGTCTGCAGAATGTATCTTAGGCGATGTATTACAGTGTAATCCACTTATAACGACAATGAGAATGCCCGAAATTCAATTTTTACGACCGAGTATCGTCTTATCTGGACTGGAAACTAAGCGTTCTTAGTCTACAACGAATTGTTATAAGCGGTATATCGTTCTAAGTGGTATCGTTATATGTGGATCGCACCTTAGCAGCGTGACAATGACTAATAGGGAGTTTTAGCAGGTCGTTTCAACACGAACGGTTCGTCGTCGAACACATCGGCGACGCCATTGAGCATGTGCGCGCGAGTCGTTCGGCGTGTCGGGAGGCTCTTCTCGTTCGTTTCTCGTATTCCGGCCGCTGGAGTCATCACCGCAACGCAGCCAGCACCATTCCCGACTCGGGGGAAAAAAATATGGCGGCCGGTTCGGCGACTGACTCCTCCGACCCAGCCAACGTTACTAAAACACTCAGTGGGGAAACTCCCATAGAGACAGCTTTGAAAAAGTGGCCCCAATCTGTCTCCGAGCACCGAGCTAATGACGAACACAACGGCACCTTTTCTCCCGCAGCGGCCACTCGAGGAACTGCACATGGCTTCTATTTTGGCTTCAGAACAGATACAGCGGTCGAGGTTACAGGGGTGCCACCCCCATCTCCCCGGCGGACGCGCCGCGTTCTACTACCGAAGTTAGAATGCACCTAGGGCGGGACGCGCTACCTGAAAGGCCCGCTGAGGCATGGTTGTATAAAAACAATATTAATTGTGCCGCAAAACCCTGCAAACTAAAGATTTTAAAAACATAACGCGCCCCTCTTTTTGTACTAAACTCTAATAAATTTCATACAAAAAGAGTCTTTTTCGTTTGTTTTTACGCAAAAACAGGCTTTCAAAAAGCTCGAGGTGACCACAGTACAGACAAACGATAAGAAGTGGCGCTGTTGTCGCATTTAGCTCGGTCTCGGTGGACGCCAGCGGCCCAGGTTTCGACGGCGAGTTTCCCAACTGAGTGTTTTAGTAACGTTGGACCCAGCCGAGCGTTAGGCTTAGGACAGTGGGAGGCGATTTGGCCATCCTGTTACTCTGCTTAATTTGAGAGGTTGAACCAAATCATTTCGAGGACTGCTGAGAATGGTAAGCGATCGTGAATGCTGTAAACTGCCCATGCTAGTAAATTTTTACGATCTGCGGGCAGACTAGCTGTCGTGGCGATCGCGAGCATACGAAATGATTTGGTTCGACGGCACACTGTGAACGATCGTTCAAGTTCAAGATGGCGGAGACACACTACATACCTTTACGGTCCTTGAGATATTTTTTACTCTATCTAGCTTCGCAGTTCTTGAAATTCCGACGAGCAAATGTCACGTCGGCAGTCTTGCCTACATCAGTCGTGCGCCGGAAACACGAGCCACCACAAATTTACACGGTGCAGATTGTTTCACATGTTTACTAGAAGTTGGCGCCGCCAGTCAAACAAAATAAAATATGTCAAATTTCACGTACGGTGTCACGGAACCGACCAGCTGCACCGTTCGTGATTTCGGAACCGTTGACTCGAAAAACGACTCGCTAAAACTCCCTAATGTTTTGGGCAATGCCCCCGCGCTCTTTCGGTCGACTCCGCGCGCGACACCTCGCGCCTACCGGTCAGCGGGAGGGCGGGCCGTGCGAGCGCACCTGGAGGTAGATGGCGGCCAGCTCCTCTATACTGCGTGCAGGGACGTCGCGCGTGCGCTGCAGGCCGACGGCCCGCACGGGCAGCTGTAAGGCCAGCTCGTAGAGGGCCCCCACGTGGCCCTCGATGGGATGCACCAGGAACACCGGTCTGCCGAGGCGCCCGTTCATTTCCACCGCCATTTGATCCGACACCAGCCTCTCGATCAGCGTCAGCCGGGGAAGCTCCGACACGGACGCGTCCTCTGCGGGGCAGAAGAGGCCCTGATCTTCGCAAGCTCGCACGGTATTTCTAAACTACGGAAAAAAGATCACCAGAATCACTCTTTATTGTTTGGAGCATCACTCACCTTGTGTACGATCGACGTTGGCTTTGATTGACATTCGCAAAATCAGTTCCTTTGTATGTACCAATGTTGAAAGGTGGGCTATTTGGTCTAGGCTAAATATAGTGTAGGTAAAACATGCCCCGTCCTGTTTGTTCCTTCCTTCTAGTTTTTGTCGTTCTGCGCTGTTTTACCTACATTATGTTTATCGTTTGTATGTATTGTTTTGCAACTAAAGCTTTAGTTTTAGCGCGACATTGAACCACTAAAGGGAGGGGTTATTTTCTAGCGGCTTTATAAAGCCACCGAAGTCTCCGGTATTTTAGCGCATAACTGCAAATGTAAAAGACATAGAAGTGAAGCTTCGGACAGAATTTGTTAAAATAATCTGCTCGGCGTAAAAATGCGCGCAGCACCGCCGAAGTCTTTCGACCGCTTCACAAATTAAGGGGCAGCGAAACCGCCATAAATACGCAAAGAAATATTACTCCGTGCAAGACCTTCCTCGATTCATCATTAAGCGCTTGTTTGGAGAGTCGCATTTGGTTGCAAGGGAGTGCAGCCACCTACTCCCTCGTAAACGACGACTCGCCACGAGTGCGAAATTTTCTGCCACAACTGCGAAGGAGAATACCCGCCCACATCTCTCACCTGCCCCAACCGCGTCCAAGCCATGGAGCACCTACAAGAGCAAATATAAGCACGCCGCAAAACGCACATTAAACCTTCACCACCACCTACTTTCCCACCGCAGGACTGGCCTACCCTGCCCCCCCCCCCCCCCGCCCCCCCCCCCCCCCCCCCCACTAACCGGGCATTAACTTCCCAGAAGAGAACATCGAAGACCCGCGCCCCACCACCAAAGTATCAGGTACCACCACAACAGTACCAGGTTCCACTACAAAAGACCTCGGCCCCGCCACCACCAAAGCCCTTGGCCCCTCCCAAGGAACCCTACCCCTCGGGTACGACTCAAAGTTCGAGCCCCTCGTGTCTGGCGCTAGGGATAAGCGAGCCATCCCCTTTCTCTCCGTCCCCCTCCCAGCCGCCTTCCATTCTTTTAGCACCTCCCTCACCTCCTCCCCCTCCTTCTCAACCCCTAGGGGAATTGCACGCCCGTGTGTTAGAGCACGAATCTAGGTAGGCGACGTCTCAAAAATTTTTGAGACGTCGCCTCCTTGTGGCCTTTTTTCTTCTCGTCCCTTTTCCGAAATACCCCAGTCTCGGGTTAAACAAAACTATGGTTAACTTCCACCAGCTCGCCTGCACCCTTACAATTTTTTCACTACGAATCTAGGTTTGACAGAATCACGTTACAGCTCGACCACATCATTATAGCGGTCGGCACACTCCAAACAACATTTAATTAACAAACACAGCTCTCACAACAACGCGACGTCGCCATTCAACGGCTCGTAGACGCAAATGCTGAGCTCTCCCACAACCTAGAACAAAAGGCCACTGCTATTCGCAACTTTGAACACTAGGTCAGAGCCCTCCGCCAACGCCACGACGACGACAGCCCTCCCCGTAAACAGCACGCCCCATGTTCTTCCACACCGCTAAATAAGAATGGCCACTAACGCCGTGTCTCTTCCAACGTCCCCTCGCTCATCTCCTCTCACAATTTGGCAGTAGAATTTCCGTGTGCTCCGCCGTAAAAAGTCAATCCTACAACTGTACATTCAAGCAGCCCTAATCAAGCCAGATATTCTACTCCAGGAGACGTGCGGAGATTCCTCGCTCCCCGGCTACGACAAATTTACTCAGTCAAGCATCACTCGAAAAGATCGCCGCAGTCCTACCGGCTCAACGACACCAACCCTCGTCATTATTTATGCAGCAAAGCACATTGACATTATACAATTAGACACGACATCTATCAACACCCCCAAGCAGGAGCATGTCACTGTACACTGTCGCACATCTCATGGCCATTACCTGGTCATTTGCAACGTCTACTGGCTCCCTCACATCTCTACCCCTGCACCTACGTGGGTCATATCCTACACCTCCCAACACAAGCAAGCAACCATCTTCATAGCTGGCGACTTCAACTGGCCGAACTTCTCGTAGGGTTATGAGCATACGATGACACAAGGCCGCAAGCTGGAACACACCATGCAAGCCCAAAGACAGCCTCATTACGGACACCACCAACCCTACACGCCAAGGCAACAGTGTACATCAGTACACTTCACCGGACCTTGCCTGGCACTACGGTCCGTCGTTGGCTAGCTGGGACAACCTACAAAACCTTGGTAGTGATCACTTCATCTTACAAATTTCCCTCCCCCTGCTTCATCGACACACTACTCACGGTCTTACCCCCCGCACTTCCCTGACCAAATGGGACAACGTTAGGGCCCAACTATACTCTGCACCGCCCCCAACTTCCCTTCAAGACTGGGTCACCAGCATTCAAGACGCCATACATCATTATACCAAGCACTTGGCCCATTCCGAGGACCACACGCGTACATAGACACACATCTCGTCCACCTGTGGGATAAGCGGCACCAGCTAGTCCACCCCCAGCTGGAAGAAAAACAAAACAAACAACTCAAAATAGCCATTCAAAACATCATCCAAGAAGCAGAAGACTATGCTCACTTCCTCACCACCCAAAACTGGTTGGACACCTGCGACTACATGAATGGCAATCTTCACACGCTGCGCGTATGGCAGATCTTCAGAACTCTGCTCGGCCAGACGAAGCCGCGGCGCCCCCTCGTCAAACTTCTTCGGAATGAACAATCCCCCAAAGATCTGGCAGACGACATCTTTGAGCGCCTTTACCCACTCACTACTCCTCCTCCTCTTCATGCCTGCCCCAAATTTAGGTGCTGGAGAGGGAATTGATTCTCCCTTCAGCCTCTCCGAACTTCTCGCTGCCCCCTACGACATCAAGAAACAAACTGCCCCGTGCCCGGATGGCATCACCTACACGACCTTTCGCAACCCCCCTGACACTCATCTCGACATCCTTCTTTCCTGCATGAACGAAGCCTGGAAATCCGGCCAGCTCCCAGGAGAGTGGCGCATCGCGAAAGCCATTCTCATCCCCAGGTCAGGCAAACCTCCAACGGACGAAAACAACTTCCGCCCTATTTCCCTGACCTCCTGTGCAGGGAAGCTCATGGAGAAGATGGTCTTTGCCAGGTTACAGTGGCACATCGACTCCATAGACGCTTTCGCCCCCATACAGACAGGTTTCCGTTTCCACGTTTCCTCCCAAGACACTGCCATGCGCATCTACGACGACGTGTACCAATTCGCAAGCACGGTCCAACTCCGCATAATCGCAACAGTAGACGTCTGCAAAGCCTTTGACATGGTCCCCCACTCCTCTATCCTGCACAACCACTCTCAGTTAAAGGTCGGCCCAAGCATGTTCAACTACGTACGGGCCTTCCTTTCTAACCGCACAGTCAAACTTCAGGTCGATGCTAATACATCTCCTCCTCACCATATCTAAATAAATTCCCACAAGGCTCCACTCTGTCCCCCACGCTATTTAACATCGCCATGATTCGTCTCCCTACCCAGCTTCAAACTATTCCAACACTCCACCACAACATTTTCGCCGATGACGTTACTATTTGGTGCTCGCATGGCTCTCCAGCGGAGGTCGAACAAACCTCCCAACAAGGCCTCCGACATCGTTCAAAAATACATCACAAATATTGGTTTTACTTGTTCTCCGACCAAGTCCGAATTCGTAGTTGTCTTCAATGACCGGACAAAGCAGGCATACACAAGACGGGCCATGATCTCCCTCACCAGTGATGGCCAAGACGTCCCCCGTAAGCCGGCCTTTACTGTGCTTGGCTTCCATCTTCACCAATCAGGTCAACCACATATATGACTTAAATCCATCACACGACAAATCAACCAAATTTATCACATGCTGTGCAGAGTTACGCACGGTCAGATCGGTCTCAAAGAGCATGAACTCCGTAAGACCATCGAAGCTCTTGTGTACTCTCGCTTCATGTACCAACTGCCACACCTACAACTGTCACCCACACAGATGAAGCAATTAGACACCGCACTACAGAAATACCACCGAGTCGCCCTCAGCGTCCCCCGTTGTGCACCGAACCACCTCATCGAAGCCATAGGCCTTTTCAACTCCCTCGAGGACCGTATCATGGTCCATCACAAAGCACAGCAAGAACGCCTGGAAACATCGAAACAGGACAGACAACTGCTACGAAGCATCAGCTACACCACTGGCGATTTAAACCCCCTCCCCCTCCCTGCTGTGCCCTGGCAATCTCTCCCACGAGTATTTGTCCTCCCTATTCACAAATATATGTCGGCGGAACTGAACGAAGCACGTCACGCACAGTGAGCACATCACATTAACACTGCCGAAATACCGTCCCCCACAACGGTATACTAATAATAATAATAATAATAATCTTTATTTCCATTTAAAGAAATGGTGGAGCGAAAGGGAAAAAGCTTCAACAAGAAGCTTGACTGGCCCTCAGCCCCATCGGCAGCCAGTGAACAAACAGTTTTCGTGCAATAAAAAAAAAAAAAAAGAAATCATACAGAAAATTATACATTATCAAATGAGATAACAGAAACAAGACACAGAACACTTAAATATGTAAAAATATATTACGCAACTCTTTAGTAGATATGGTTTCTATATTTCCATTTTCCTTTTCAAAGTTGTTTAGAAGTTTTGGAATTAAACACCGAAGCATTTGCTGCCCATAATTTGACCTGCATGTGGGAACCTTCCAATATTCATTATGGCGGGTCAAGTAAACCGTATTATTTTTTTCTAATCTAACTATCTCGTTTAAAAGAACACTTTCCTTTTTAATTTCATTCTTAATGGTGAGTAAAAGTCTATAATCAGATAGCTTATGAATTTTTAATATTTGCAGATTTCTAAACAT